GTTGGTGGCGATAGTGGTGGTGGTGTGTGTGTGTGTGTGTAGGGAGTTTTAAAAGCCAGAGGGGAAAATAGGTGAAAGTGAGGTTTCTTGATCCATGATCCTGGGAGAAACTGGCTACTCCATGAGGCTGGCTGCTTCTGGGGCCTGGGAATTGGCCCTGGAAATCCTTATTTAAGGTCACCTATGGGGACTGTCTCTGAGTTTTCTTAGAGCGATGTTCTGCATCTATTTTCACGTGGCTTGCATGGATCCAGGAAGATCTTTCCTTTATTTTGATGGAAGTGTATTTGGTCAGTAGGACTTCCTAAGGTCCTTCCCAGCGAGGTGACAGCGCATGTTTTCTTCTAAGGACCTTGATGGACACCCGATCTTCTGGTCCGATGGGACAGCAAGGCTTATCAGAAAGTGGGGACCATGCCTCTTTTATCTGTTGACCATATGCTTCAAGTATACCAGTTAATTTTTGTCTATAGCTAGTCATAGCATCAAATTGTTCACTTAAGTTCCCGTAATATTCACTTAATCCAGGAAGGGAAGGTTTAGAGTCGCCAGTAGGCATCGAACATTCAAACACTATTTCAAAAGGAGTCAATCCATCTCTACTATTTGGAATATGCTGAATCTTTATGAGGACCAAGGGCAGAGCCTCTGGCCTTTTAAGCCCAGTTTCTTGCCAGACCTTTCCTAAAGTCCTCTTGATGTTTAGAATTTGACAGCCCTGATGATCGAGGATGATACGGGGTATGAAATTTTAATGAGTACCCCAGAGTTTCTGCAAGCAAGTAGTTTTTGTCTGCTGTAGAATGAGTTCCTTGGTCTGATTTGATCCATAAGGGAATTTCAAAACAAGGAATAACTTCTTTTCCAGTGTTGTGGCATCTGCATGCCTAGTTGGAGAGCGTTCGGTGCATCCAGTAGCCATACAGACAATAACCAAACAGGGAGAATAGCCTAAAGCTGGGGGCAAGGCTATCAAGTCCATTTGGAGTGCTGCAAAGTGTGGTGTGGCCCTGGGAGGACTTCCTGGGCTCTGCTGATTTCTCCCAGAAACTTGGTGAGATTGGCAAGTAGTGCACTGGGAAATAATTGGGTCAGAAATTTTGTGGATGCCAGGGCAAAGCCAATTGTCTTTTAGTTCCTTAACTATCCCCCATCTGCACATATGTCCCATTTGGTGGGAGATAAGTGCAGCCAAAAAGTCAAAGGAAAAGAAGCTGCAGGAAGTCTCGTTGGCCAAGCGTCTAATCCATCTGATCATTGTTTGGTGCCATGTTGTATCCCATGGTCTTTTTCAGATTGTGGGGCATTTCCGTACTGGTTAATAATGGGAGTCAGAGATAAAGGCACATTTAAAAATTGAGTGGAGAAAGGACTAGGGGGTCCATGGTGAGCTGTATATTTAGCAGCCCTGCCAGCCTGTCATTTCCTGAAGATATGACATCAATTTCCTGAGTATGGGCTGAAGAGTGAGCAATGGCTATTTGAGAAGGGAGGTAAATAGCTTGTAATAGGGCAGCAATTAAGTGTCCATTAGCAATAGGTGTTCCTGCAGAAGTTAAGGATCCATGGGATTTCCACCTTGTACCAACAGCATGGCAGACTCCAAAAGCACACTGGAGTCAGTGTAAAGAGTGGCAGTTTTCCCCTTTGCTCATGTGCAGGCTCTAATAAGATCTATGAGTCCAGCATCTTGGGCTGATTTTACAGTGGGCAAAGAATAAGCTTCAAGTGTTTCATGTGGGGAAACTTGGCATAGCCAGTTCTTATATTGCTCTGGAAATTCTGTTTACAGGAGCCATCACAAAACAGAAGTAAGCCTGGACTGTCTAAAGGGATGTCTGAGAGATCCTCTTGTGGCTTTGAGACCATTTCTATAGTTGCAGGGCAATCATGTGGGATAGCGTGGGGCTCTCCATCATCAGGGAGGGGTAATGAGGTAGTTGAATTCCAAGTATCACAACGATGTCAGATGATGGAAGAGTTAGTTAAGAGTGCACTTATAGGTCGTCTCTGGCCCTGTAGAGAGGTGTTGTGTCTATGAATTTGCAAAATAGCAGACACAGCATGGGGAACCTAGAGACGAATGGGAGAGCCTAGTGTTGGAGTACTGCCTTTGTCAGTCAGGGTGGCAGATGAGGCCACTGCATGGAAGCCTGGGGGCATACAGCATCTAGTTGGCATGAGAAGTATGCTATAGGATGTCTCTGAGAGGCAAAAGACTGCCCCAGGATGCCTTTAGCAATTCCACTATTTTCGTGGCAGTATAGATGAAAAGGTCGTCAAAAGTAGGTGAGCCGAGAGCCAGGGGTTTGGACAAACCTAATTTTAAGGTTTCAAAGGAGTTTAATGGCTCTGAAGGCCAGGAAATAGGCTCTGGGGTGATAGTTGGGAGAAGAACTTAGAGAGGGTTAGCAAGGGCTGCAGAATCAGGAATCCGCTGGGGCCGTAACCAGCTGCCCCTAGACGTTTACGTGGCTGTTTTCTCGTTTTGAGTAGAAGGATGGACAAAATGGACTGAAGGCATTTAGGGGTAGCTTCTGAATGCCTTGAGATATGTCATGTCCCAGTAGGTAGCAGTCGTTTGCACCCACTGAAATTTAGACCTGGAGGCTTTATGGCCTCGAGCAGCTCGTGCCTTCGGGAGAATGAGGGCTCTGTAAGAGCTCCCTATTTAGTTGCATTACAGACTGGAAGGTTATCCACACAGCGAACAGGAGTGGAGCCTTGAGTAGAGAGTACAGAATCCATGTCAGCTTTAAGGACTCCGGAAAATAATGAGAGGACTCACAATATCCCTGAGGGAGGTGAGTCCACGTTAATTGCCTCCCTGTAAATGTAAATGCAGAAAGAACTTGTGAATCAGGGTGCAAAGGGGTTGGAAAGAAAGCTGAGCAAGGGTCAACAGTCAGCAAGAACTGAGGTCGAGATGGCAGCAGTATCAAGGACCAAGGATGCTGAGGAACTATGAAAGACTTTATGGCTCTGGGGTCTTGTACAAATCTATAGATTTGGTTCCCATCTGAGTGAAAATTGCCTTCTTTTTTCACTGGCCAGTGTCAACGCAAATAATCCATCCATAACCAGTCTATATACCAAATTGGAATAAGTTGATGATCCAACCCCGAGGACCATATAGCCCAGGAGAGCCCTTTCACAAAGGAAGCAAACACTCCAAAGAAGTGGGGGTGTACAGAGTGGTTATATAGTGTTTGACGATAGTCATGAGATTGCTTTGGCAGCACAGCAATTCAGTGAGCACAGCAGGTCTGCGGTTGGAAGATGGGTGGTCACAAGGTGAGCACAGCAGGTCAGCAATCAATCCTTAGTTTAGGGAGAGATGCTTATCTTTAAGGAAATGCCAACGTGGGGGAAGTTACATCCTTATCTTTAATGGCACTTTTCTTGTCTTTGGGACATAGTAAATACTTAAATCACTTATACAGTGCATGCTCACTGGGCCATGTCAGGCCCTTTTGGTAAAACAAGGTGAGGCTGAATTAGTTTTAACCCAGATGGCCTCCTCATATACTCCAGTATATCCTATATGTTTGTCATTTATTTATCACAAGATTGGAGTATTACAGGGTGAGGAGGTGAAAATGAATATACCCCGTTGCAAAAGAGAGTCTGTTATAGATTGAAATCTTCACTCTGCATCTCTGGAGAGCGAGTATTGGGCTACTGAGGGACACAGTTTATTCTTTTTCCTAGTAATGTGCATGCTAAGAATCCTACTTCATTTGCATGTGTAGACCAGAGACTAATTGGGACATCTTTTGAAGACTCATCCTCTTATATCAGGATGCGTTTCTAGCAAGGAAAATAGGAGACTTGGAGTGTGGTCTGAGGGCAGGGAGATAAAAATGCCTTTCTCATTACAATTTCTAGTGGCATTCAATTTACATAACAAACTTCTGCCCAGAAGGTTTGCTGGTCAACAGTGGGAGACTACAAAGGCATGATGAGTGTAATTGGGCCTAAAGATGGAGTGGGCTGAGCTATGGGCCATGAAATAGGCTGCCCGGAGACTCTTAACAGCTTGAATATAATCAGAGGTGAGAGGTAGGGATAAGCCTCTGAAGGGATAGTAGAGGAAGTCCCACCAGTGTCAATTAAGAAATACAGTTCCCATCCTCTAGTTTAATGGTAGGCTCACAGGTGCAACTGAGGATAGGCTGACCCCATCATTTAGGGGAAAATGCCTCTCAGGAGGAGAAAAACAAGCCTTCTGGAGGTGCTGGGGCCTAAAAGGGGCGTATTTTTTAAGCTTCCCCTTCTCTTAAGAGCAGTAGGATCTGTTTTCAATGCCCTGGTTTCTTGCAACACCTCCAGTTGTCTGGAGGCAAGTAGGGAGGCCTCTGAGTGGGCTGTAATTTACTCTCGGTTGCATTTTTCTTCTCTAAAGATCCAAGTTGTAAAGCCAGAAGAGTTGCTTTTAATTCCTTGTCTTTTACTTTCCTGCTGACTATTTTCAAAGAATTGTGTAGCAGCCTCCATTATTACACTTACTCGTTGCCCTGACCAACCACCCACACTGTTTGGAATTTGTTGTTTTATATGAGGAAGAAAATTTCCTGCTGAAGCAGAAATCAGGAGGTTCCCGTGCTCTGGGGCTTCTGGGTTTAATGCAGTGTGACTTTGAAAGGTTTGTATGACAAGTTCAACAAGGGCTTTTGGATGTTCCCCCTCATTCTGAGTGCATGATTCAATTTTTGACCAGTTCACTGTAGGAGGAAATGCCTCTAAAATCACTCCTGTTAAACCTTGAATATCAGCCTCTAGCAGAATCACTTCCTGGTCATTTGCAGGAGGGCCTGGGACAGGGTCTGGCCACCTCTTTCCCCTATGAGAGTGGGTTTCCTCCAGGGGGCCGCCTGGCCTGTCTGACAACTACAGTGTAATCCTGGGCTGGAAGGACCCCCCTTAGCAGCCAGTAGAGGTCTCTGTGGGTGGGGTTATGAATAGCCACTAACTTTCTAATCCCTCTCCAAATTTCGTAGGCTCTTCTGACAATGGAGGCAGGAGAGTTTCATAATTTAATAGATCACCTGCTGTCCAGGGGACATGAATTCTCTGCAGTGGATGTCCAGGATACATCCACAATGGACCCTGCATGGAATGCCTGAAGATGACAGAGCCCTGGGAAGTAGGAGGATAAGGGACAGCAAAGCCAGCCTTCCTGCCTCTCCTGGCTGCTTCTACTGAATTCACTTCCTGGCTTTCAGCATTTACACAGGTGACCTGTGTGCCCCTAGCTTGGAGGTGAGGCCTGAGTGCCCCTGTAAGTCTTCTAAAGAGAGGGAGGTGATGCTGGGCAGCTGAATGCTTTATGGAGAAGTTGGAGTTTTAGGATCTAAGGGAAGTGGCTGAGGAACTGGCTGATGAGCTAAGTCTTGAGAGGAGGAGGTTAAGCCAGGGGCCCAGAGATCCAGAAGATCTTGTGGGGAGTCAGGGACAGGGCCTTGGGGTTCCAGGGGAGTATAGGAGGGAGGAGAAGGAGGATTTTCATTTAATTTGCTTTTTAATTTTTGTTCTAAGTCTGACTTCTTTCAGTTTATTAAGAGATTCCCTCAGGCTAGCCATTATGTTTTTGGGGGTTTTCTTTTTAATTTGATCTTCCCTGAAACAGCAGTAACACAACTGCTTGTGATAAGTGCTTTCTAAAATATTTTTCAAATATAGAAGTTTTTCTAATTCAAAAGATGCGTCATCTGGCCATTGATGAGTGGGATCTCCAATTGTGTATTTATTCCACTAGTGATTCAATGCAATGAGCCTTTTTAAGGAAAGACCTGGAGGTAACTTTCCAGGCTTACAATAAATCTTTACCCTGGATGCAGGAGACCTCCCTTGGGAGGACACAGATGATGTAGCTCTCATGATCCAAAATGCTCACTCCCCAAAATAGAGAGAGTAAAGAGCTTTGTTGCATAGGCAGTAAGGATGGTGTAGTGAAAACGGTGTCTCCGGTGTCCCTCCAGAGCTTGAGATGCCTTCTGTCACAAACCCACTAATCAAACCAGCCATGACATTCCCTTGAGGCAAAGCCTAATCCAGAGCAGTCCCCTAACTCTTTTCAATTCTCTGAAGCCTGAGAGAGATGAGGAAGCTGCAGAATAAAAGAATGAAGCTGGCAGAAGTTGGTTCATGAGGTTTAAGGAGAGAAGCCATCTCCATGACATGAAAGTGCCAGGTGAAGCAGCAAGTGCTGATGGAGAAGCTGCAGCAAGTTACAGCGAAGATCTCGCTAAGATCACTCGTGAAGGTGGCTGCTCTAAACAACAGAGTTTCAGCGGAGACAAACCAGCCTTATTCTGGAAGAAGATGCCGTCTAGGATTTTCATCGGTAGAGAGGAGAATTCAACGCTTGGCTTCACAGCTTCAGAGGACAGGCTGACTCTTGTTAGTGGCTAATGCAGCTGGTGACTTGAAGTTGAAGCCAATGCTCATTGACCACTCTGAAAATCCTAGAGCCCTTAAGAATTGTGCTGAATCTACTGTGCCTGTGCTCGGTAAATGGAACAATAAAGCCTACATGGCAGCCCGTCTGTTTACAACATGGTTTACTGAATGTTTTAAGCCCACTATTGAGACCTACTGCTCAGAAGAGAAGATTCCCTTCAAAATATTACCACTCATTGAGAACGTACCTGGTTGCCCAACAGCTATGATGGAGATGCACAGTGAGATTAATGTTGTTTTCATGCCTGCTAGCACAGCCTCCATCCTGTATGCCCATTTTGATCAGGGATAGAGGAGTAATTTTGTCTTTCAAGTCTTCTTATTTAAGAAATACATTTCGTAAGACTGCAGCTGCCATAGATAGTGATTCCTGTGATGGATCTGGGCAAAGCGAATTGAAAACCTTCTGGAAAGGATTTCCCATTCGAGATGCCATTAAGAACATTCATGATTTATGGGAAGAGGTCAAAATATCAACCTTAACAGGAGTTTTGAAGTTGATTCCAGCCCCCATGGATGACTTTGAGGGGTTCAAGATTTCAGGGGAGGAAGTAACTGCAGATATGGGGGGCAGAGCAAGAGAACTAGAATTAGAAGTGGAGCCTGAGGATGTGACTGAATGGCTGCAATCTCATGATTAAACTTTAACAGATAAAGAGTTGCTTCTGATGGATGAGTAAACAAATTGGTTTCTTGAGATAGAATCTACTCTTGCTGAAGATGCTGTGAAGATTGTTCAAATGACAAGAAAGGATTTAGAATGTTAGATAAACTTAGTTGATAAAGCAGTGACAGGGTTTGAGAGGATGTCTCCAATTTTGAAAGAAGTTCTAGTGTGGTTAAAATGCTAACAAACCAGATTGCATGCTACAGAAAAATTGTTCGTGAAAGGAAGAGTCAATTGCAGCAAACTTCACTGTTGTCTTATTTTAAGAATCAGCCACAGCCACCCCAACCTTCAGCAAACACCACCCTGATCAGTCAGCAGCCCTCAACATTGAGGCAAGACCTTCCCCCAGCAAGAAGATTACAACTCGTTCAGTTGTAAGGTTCAGATGATGGTTAGCATTTTTTAGCAATAAAGTATTTTTTAATTAATGTATGTACATTCTTTTGTTAGATATAATGCTATTGCATACCTAATACACTACTGTGTAGTGTAATTATAACTTTTATTTGCAGTGGAAAATCAAAAACTTCATGTGGTTCACTTTACTGGGGCATTCATTTTATTGCAATGGTCTGCAACTGAACGTGCAATATCCCTGTGATATGTGTGTATTGTTTCGGTTCTTAGATTTAGTTCTCTGATCCATTTTGAGTTAATTTGTGTGTGTGGTGTGAGGTAGGAGTCTGACTTCATTCATTTGCATGTGGATATCCAGTTGTCGCAGCACAGTGTGTTAAAAAGACTATTGTTTCCCCCATTGAACTGTTTAGGCACTCTTCTAAAAACTCAATTGGTCTTCAAGAGAATGAGAAGACAAGGCATAGACTAGGACAAATATTTGTAAAAGAGATATCTGATAAAAGATTGTTATTCAAAATAGAGAAAGAACTCTTAAAAATCAACAATAAGAAAACTAACAACCCAGTTAAAAATGTGCAAAAGATCCCAAGAGACACCTCACCAAAGAAGATTTACAGTTGGCCAATAAACCTGTGAAAAGATGCTCCATATCGTATGTCATTATGGAATTGCCAATTCAAACAACACTGAGACACCACTCCACACCTGTTAGAGTGGCAAAAATCCAATCCACTGACAACGCTAAATGTTGCTGAGGATGTGGAGCAGCAGGAGTGCTCATGCATCGCTGGTGGGAGTGCAAGATGGTACAGTCGTTGGGAAGACAGTTTGGCAGTTTCTATGAAATGAAACGTCCTTTTACCATGTGATTCAGCAACCATACTCCTTGGCTTTTATGCAGATGAGTTTAAAACTTAGGTCCACAAGTAAACCTGCACGTGGATATTTACAGCAGCTTTCTTCATAATTACTAAAACTTGGGAGCAGTCAAGATGTCCCTCAGTAGGTGAATGGATAAACTCTGGTACATCCAGACAAGAAACGTTACTCAGCACTAAGAAGAAAGGAGGTATCAAGCCGTGAGAATACATAAGACAACCTTAAATGCATATTACTAAGTGGAAAACGCCAATCTGAAAAGGCTACATGCTGTATGATTCTGTTGCAACCATATGACATTCTGGGAAGGGAAAACTGTGGAGACAGAAAAAGATCAGTGGTTCCCAGGTGTTAGTGGGGAGGGAGGGATGAATGGGTGAAGCACAGAGGATTTTTAGGGCATAGCCTAATAGTGTATACATGTATATGTCACTATACATTTGTCAAAACCCACTAAGAGTGAACCCTAAGTAAACAGCGGACTTGATGTGATCATGATGTATCAGTGTAGGTTCGTCAGTTATAACAAATGTGCCAATCTAGTTGGGGATGTTGATAGTGGGGGATGCTGGGCATGTGCAGGGGCTCGAGGTATATGGGAACTCCATCTTCTGCTCAGTGTTGTGTGAACCTAAAACTGCTCTAAAAAAATGAAGTCTATTTTTTAAAAACAATTGACCATAAATTTTCAAAATTGAATGGCCATATTTTGGGACTCTCAGTTCTACTCCATTGATCTCTATCTGTCTGTACTTCAATAACACGCTATCTTAATTTCTGTAGCTTTCGTAGTCAGTTTAGAAATCAGAACATGTAAGTCCTCCGAATTTGTTCCTTTTCAAAAGTGTTTTGGCTATTCTGGATCCCTTGTATCTGCATCTAAATTTTAGGCTCAGCTTGATAATTTCTGGAAAATAGGCGGCTGGGAGTTTGATAGGCATTGCATTGATTCTGCAGACCGATTTGGGGAGTATTGCCATCTTGACAATATTAAGTTTTTCAGTCCATGAAAGTGGGATGTCTTTCCACTTATTTAGGTCGTCTTCAGATTTTTTTCAGTGATGTTTAGTAGTTTTCGGTGTACAAGTCTTGTATTCCTTTTGTTAAATTTATTCTAAGGTATGTTTGTACAAAAATTTATTCTTTTTGATACTATATAACCAGAATTGTTTTCTTAATTTTAAGTCTGGATAGTTCATTGCTACTGTATAGAAATACACTACATTTTTATATTGTGTATTGTCTGTTGTATACAAGTCTGTATGCTGCACCTTTGCTGAACTTGTTTATCAGTTCTAATATTTTTTCTGTGGATTCTTTCGAATTTTCCTCCATAAGATCATGTCATCTGTGCTAGAGGTCGTCGTACTTCTTCCTTCCCAATCTGGATTCCTTTGATTTCATGCTCTCACCTAATTGCCATGTCCGGAGCCTCCAGTAAAATGTTGAGCACAAGCGGTGAGAGGACATCCCGAGGTTGTTCCCGATCAGATGGAAAGCTTTCAGTCTCTCACCACTGAGCACAGCAGCCGAGGGTTTTCGTAAATGGTCTTCATCAGTTTGAGGGCAGTCCCTTCTACTCCAGGTGTGTTGACTGTTTTTTTTCTGTGTCTGTTGAGAGGATCAGGTGGTTTTTGTCCTTTGTTCTATTAGTGTGGCATACTACATTGATTGATTTTCACATGTTCAATCAGTCTTGCATTCTTGGAATAAATCCCACTTGGTCCTTTTATATATGTTGCTGGATTTGATTTGCGGGTATTCACTTGAGCAGTTGTGCCTCTCTATTCCTAAAAGATGTTGGTTTGTAGATTTCTTTTCCTGTGATGTCTTTGTTGGGTTTGGTGTCAGGGTGATCCTGGCTTTGTAGGATGAGGTGGGAAGTGTTCTCTCTTGTTTTTCATGTATCTTTTAGTGCTTTCTCTTCACTGCATCTTCATGGTGTTGCTCTGTGCAACTGCCTTGCTCAGTGGGGTCCAGCGTTTGGCCCAGCCATATCCCTTGAAGTTTACAGTTTACTGCATCAACCATGCTTGGCCACAGATATCCATTGGATGTTGGTGCCTGTGAAGGGGTGTGTGGTGAGAGCCCCTCTCTGGGTAGATAAAGTCAGTGTTCTGAAAGCCTGCACACCAGCTCTCAGGTTGTCATCAGCAAGGCGTTGGGGGAGCTCCTGTTATAAAATTGCACAAGCCTCTTGGTTTGAAATGCGTTTTTCTGGATTTTTGTGAAAGCATTTCAGGATAAGGCCCAGTTATGTCTAGGCCACACAAGAGCAAAGTACTGGAGCTGTCATCCCTGCAGGAAGTGGGAGCCCACCTGAGAAGTTGCTCGAGACGATGTCAGCCAAATATCAGAAGGGGTCAAGGGGGCGGGCTAAGGCAGAGTGTTCTAAGTGGCACCATCTTGTCTGGGAGTCCACCATCCTGTCACCAGCCCACTGAGCCAGACAGCCTGCAGGTGCCCCTGAAGTCCTATTCCACAAACCACATAGAAACCTGACAACATGGAGAGGGTTCTTGGGGAAGAGGATATCTGTTTCAGTTGTGCGTTGCTGGCACGGATTGTCATCATTTTGCTGTAAACAAGTTCACACCCTGTCACACCAACCTTTACACTTTCAAAGAAGTGGAAAGAGCAGAAGGACAAAGACCCCTCAGCCCCAGGAATAAATCAGCCTGGGGTGGGGGGTGGGGGGTTTGATGGTCATGTGATGAGACCCATGATCTGCCTCCCGTGATGTGGGGACTGGCATGGGCTAGATGCTCAGTCCACGCTACTTCTCACGGATATCCGCAAGTGGGGAGCTGCCGTTAGGGTCCCCCAGGGTCCCCCAGGCTTGACAGGTGCTCCTGTCTAGAAAGGGCTGTCATTGGTGTCTGAGGGGCCCTAGGGATGCCCCAAGCTGGAGGTCATCCC